TCTCTCTCTCTCTCTCTCTCTCTCTCTTTCTCTCTCGTTCTCGGTAAATTGCGCGTGAAATGGAACGACTGCCAGAAAAGTAATTCGTCCCCCATCCATCCACGGCCTTTCTCATTAATTTCATCGCATCACATTTTTCTCTTCAAAATTCACCGACCACGATTTCGACTCGCGATCTAGTTCTCGCGAAATGTCCAAGCAGGACGCTTTGGCACGCGATTTATAATAATATCGATCGAAAAGAAAGAAAGAAAAAAAAAAAAAAAAAAAAAGAAGAAAGAAACGTTTCGAGAGGACGAAAACTGAGGGATTCAACGCGTTTCTTTTTTCTCTTTTTTTTACCGCGAGCTTGAAATTCGCGAGCCGGACATCGCGTTTCTTTCCTTTCTCCTCGAAATGCTCGTATTTTTCTTTACTTTGTCGCAGCTTTCGCCCCCTCTATTTGGCAATGGGTTTGAAAACGAACGGCAACGAGAGGAAATACTATCGAGCAACGTGGTGGCCTCACTGAACTCGACGAAGCACTCGACTCCACCGCTGTCGGTTTTCGCGCATCCGTAGCGTACCATGTCGCATCACGCCAGGGATCCCCACACCACTTCCTCTCACTTCCTCTCTCTTTCCAACCCTCTATCTTCTTCTCCCTTCCTCCCCCCTTTTCTCGAGTCGTCGATCACCGCCGCCAACGTCGATCCTTAACTCCTTGGCTGCCTCCTCGGACGATTAGTCGTTCCCTCCACAACGATTTTCCTCGAAAATTCTTTTGCTGGATGGATGCACGGAGATTCCCATAGATTCCGCTAAGGCGGAATCCGCTTACGACGAAGGCGTTTCGCCCACTAAGAGACGGCAAGCAACGAGCGGATTTTATGGTGGACGAGGGATAAACGGCTGCTAGGTTACACTACCACACGCGTCGACACCGCAACACCGCAAACCTCTACCAAATTAACCGGTCGTCATACCCTCCTTGGAACACGCTCCTTGTTTATGTACATAATGAGTAATTGCGTACCGTGGATCGACGAAACGCAGCGTTTCGCGGCGTTGCCCGAAGGGAACCCGCGTTTCTTCTCCCTGCGTTTCATCTTTCGCCCGATGAAGGCGAAATCCCTCTTTCCTCTTTCCAATTTTTTCCGCCTTCTTCGATTTCTTGATTTCGCAACGAAACGAAGAGAGGATAAACTTTGAATATTTCGGTTTCGTCGTCACCTTCGAAATCCGACGTCCTGCAATGAAAACGTTAATACCTCGGTAATCGAGGTGTCGTTCGAGACCACTTTATGGCGTCGTAAAAGGATACCCCCCCCTCCTCCTCGCCCGTCGTAAAATCGATTTAATTTCGGTCCACGTTAGGATCGCGTGATACTTTATATTCCCGTAATTGAATCGTTCGTCACGGTGAAATTTGAGAATTTGCCGAGGAACGGCGAGAGGAAAGAGGGGAGGGCCAATCTTGCTGCGTTAATTCTCCTCCTCCTCCTCCTCCTCCTCTTTCTCCTCGGAAAGAACCGACGACAGGCGTTAACGAGACGAGTTCCCTTTGAACGGAGGGAGGAATATGAACCGCGTAAAATCGAATACGCGTCGATTAACCCTTTAACTTCCCTTTTTTTTTTTCCTCCCCTCTCCGTATAATTAACAAAAGAGACGTCGTCGAATTAATTAAAAGTATGAGATACTTTGAAGGAGGGAAAGCGTAATATTAAAGCGAATTTTTCTAAATTACCAAAGAAGAGAGAGAGAGAATTGCGCGCACAAAAGAGGCGGTTAACTTGGGGAAAAAGCCTCTTGGTCCTCTTGGTCTTTCCACTCGCGGATCCGTTCTTGGCTATAAAAGTCCAACAATGAAATAATTGCGCCCGCTTACTTACAAGCGCTTTGAAAAAGACACTTCCCAACCTTTTCTTCGTTTATTTATCTCATTCTCACTCGGATTCTCTTTCGATCGTTTCGATTGCTCGTTCATAATTTCCATACGCTCTCCTCTTTTGCTTCTTCCCCTCGAAGAGAGGAAAAAACGCTTCCTTTTTCCGAATCCGAATTCCCTTCCAACCAGCGCTGCAATCATCGTAACTGCCACGAATGTAACGATCCTCGACGAGGATTAAAAATAGTTGGAGGGGGGGAGAAAAAAAGGTGGTGGTAAAAGTTGCACATTTTTCGTGCACAACGAAAATAATAAAAAAAACTTACGATCGAGTGTGGCGAACGATAACGCGAGAAACGGATGGGGAGCGGAGTGAGTTGGTTGGTTTTCGAATCGCGATCGATCTATCGTCTGTCGATATTCCAGAATAATCGGCCGATTCGGCCGAGGAAATCATCGACGCGATAACAAATTCCCGATTAATCGGCAATAACGCGAAGAACAACGGCGCTATTCCGCTAATTTCCACGCTTGGACGACAATTTTATTTCGCGTAATTTCCGCCCCGATTCGAAAATCAGACCCTTTAACGACAATTGTTACAACGATGTCAACGATTCGCTCGTAAATTTTCGCAATTCGCAAAATTTTTCGCAAAGTTGAACAACGAGCGGTGTAATCAGAAGGAAGGAAGAAGAACGAGAAATGGCCAGGCGGAAGGCAATAGTTTCTAAGAATAACGATTAGAATAACGATGATTCAACATCGAGATGTTTGAACGAGTATCCTCGTATATCCATCGTATTTGCCTCCGAATACATTTTTATGTATAAATTAGGGATAAACGAAGGGAGCGATAAAGCAGCGGCGAGGTGGTAATCGACTCGTGACAGCGTTTAAACACGGAGGATGTTTGGTTATTCTAGACCAGTCGCGTTTATTCGATAACCGTTGCCCGTTGTTCGATTTATATTCGTCGTTCGAGCATCGATGGAATTTCCTTCCACTTTTATATTCCGATTTTAATTTACGAGATTCGGGTCGGCGTTGTTCGAATTTATCGAGCTATTTTTTTACTCAATCCCGACCAATGATAACTTTTTATGATACACAGTTGCCGGCACTAGAGAGGGAGAAGGGGAAGGCAGAAGTCGAGCTTTTTTCCCGTTTCAATTAGAAACTAAAATTAAAAACTCGTTAGTCGAAACGAAAGCATTCCTATCCCCCTGTGAGGTAGATGACCGTCCCGACGACGAAATCGATCGACGTGCCAGATGCTTTTTGACGTAATACGTTTCCCAAATATTTCCACCGATCGTCGAGTTCGAAACAAACGAATCCCGTTCCCGGTGTTAATAAGCGTAACGATATATTCGTATCGCTCCCTCTTTTCCATTTTCGCATTAAATCCGA